GCAATGAGAGTGCGCACCGGCGTAACAACCTGTCCCCAGTTTGAGAGTTTGGTTTGCAGCTCCCCCCATCGTAGGAAGGGGAACCGCGGACCCTCATCCAGATGGCCACCTGTGCGAGGAGGCTGATAATGTATTGTAACAAAACCCTAACAAAGTCGCTTACGAATATGCCAGAAGACAGGTGTCACCGGGGGGGTGGGGGGGGGAGACCCTTCCCCTACGCGGCCTTCCACTGCACTACTTCCTAACCCGGCACGTCTCCTGATAAGGAAACTTCAAAGCCAAGAGCTGGAATCACCATCGCTGGCTTGGGCCCATTCCAAGTTCTCCTCGTCACTCACAGAAAACAACGCTGTGAAAGTCCAGGAGAGCAGACTGGGTCCCACGCATCGCACTGCAAACAAGTCCCAGCTCTTCTGCGGAGCGTACAAACGGAAGCATAAGAGGAGGATCTTACCTGCCCTCCCCAACGCGAAAGAGGGTCCACAACACACACACTAACCCCCCTCCCAACGTAAAACATTGTAAGGAAAATACATTGTTAACTGCAATCAGGAGAAAAAGTGCTGGTAACTAACACTCCTAGGTCATAGATGAGGCAGAAATAGGTAACACAAGAAGATCAACAAGTGACAATCCAAGTCCAGGATGCACAACGGACCCCGGGAGAAACGTCCCCTGGCCATCCATTCAGGCAGCAGGGCCTTTGCGGGATGAAGAAAGACATTGTGTGTGCTCATTTCATTTCCTTCCTCATTGTGTTTCCACTGTTATGGTTTGAAGGTCGGGAGAATAAAAAGAACAATCAAACACAGGTCGTTGTCATTACACTTCTAACACCTTCATATACAATCAAAACGGGTGAAGAGGGAAAGATGTGGGCCAAAATGGATTTTGCGGTGGTCAACGTGTTTGGCTCAGTCCAAGTGAATCACACCCAGCGTGTCCACACACTTAATATTGTGGTATCAGAAGCAAAATTTTTTTTTTCTTAGCAGAGTCCACCAAAATCGCTCAAATTGTTACATTTGTACTCATATGCCTATTGCGTCATCAAACCCTCACATCACACCCTCTCAATGGTCGGATGCATTTACACATTTTCCAAAGATTCTGTTATTCATACTGTCCTTCTGTTGGTTTTCAATGAGACCGTCACAAAAGCGTACAGGGAAATGTCCTCCCCCCACTCAAACCTGGCTGTTAGTTTCTGATTTCATTCTTCAATTAGTGGTTTAGTGATGAATTAGATCCAATTTTTGGCCCAGGTAACATATCAGACCTGGTACTAAATTTGTATTTACACTCTATCATGACCATTAACTGATTCTCCTATACAGATGGTACGGAATCCCTATTCATTTGTTTAAATTGTCCCTAACCCGTGTACTCTTTTCATGGTAGTTTCAAGTTTAAACACTTCTCAGGCCGCGCCGGGAAGTAACATGTCTCCCACTATCAACGGTTCCTGATCTCAACAGAACTAATCCTCTGAATGGTGTTTGTGCTGTGTGCTTCAATGTCTATGTTGAAGCTACCAATTTAATTGGATAGGTTCGGTGTGCTTCTGATGATATGCTTCAGAGCCACTCTTACATCAACTCTACCATTCCTAGATCGCGAGGGTAAAGCGCGATTTGCTGCTCATGATGCAGTTTGGGGGACGACGTCCAGATGATCACAAACTGTGGACGCATGCCAACTAAAGTACTTCTCCTCTCCCTTGTTCCCCCAGATCCGGTATAGGAAGTTATGCTTAGAATGAAACCTGAATTTTTCGAGTTTTCAAGTTTTGTGAAGTCAACTGTAACGATAACAGAGGCCAACATAGTAAATAAATGCGTGCGTGTCCGTGCTTAACAAAACCAGGATTGTTTTGGGATCATTTGGTGTTTGCCTCCAGTGGGAGGTGTTTGTGTGTTACTTAATCTGAAACCCTTGGTGTACTTAATATTCCTGATAACAGTGGGGCCGATGAGGATCAATGCACAGGTATTCGTAATCTAACCACCTTTAGACGATGCGGTTACCGTTGATTTTTGTTCAGATGCTTCATGGTTTTCAGACTGGCGAGCGGGTTTGGGTTCCAAATATGTACTAGGACTTGGAGTAATATTAGTACTCGCGTAATAAGTGCTGTCATGTTGTGTCATTCCCTTTGATCCTTCATTGATCCGACGTATGATCTCCGTCGACACTCGTTCAACCACACTTCTCTTAACCTGCTTGTTGACTGTCTTGATGAGGACAGGATCCCATTTTAGTGAGATGTTACTTGAATGATTTTGAAGTAAATTGGTTTTGTATGACTTAACCCCCTTTTCTGCCATTTTCTTAAACCTACTAGTGTGCAAGTTTGGATGTTCCGGGGTTTTCATTATATTTTACTTATATTTACTTTGATATATTTTTATTTACTTATATTTTACATTATATTTACTTATATTTTTAGTACTTGATAATAGTTTTAGTACTTAATTAGTAATTTGTGTGATATGGGATTTAAGATAATCAAAAAGGGTGGATTGTCATGCCGATCCCGGCACAATATATCCTACTCATTTAGCTTCGATACATGCGTCTTCTTTCCCACGGCTGAAACGGCTTCTCATCTACGGTTTTGAAAACATTAAACACAAGGCTGCTTGTCCACGGCTCCGGCTTTTCCCATAACCTTGCGCCACCACCGGCATGGCCTATCACAAATGTTCTTAAGCTTGTCCCTTGTTATCAAATTCCGAAGGTCCTTGTTCCGCCTTAATGTATCTCTCCCAAACTTTCCCGTCTGCAGCTGCTAGGACTCATCTCTCTATGTGACGAATGTCCATTGTTTGTCTGACCACCTCCATAAAGAATATAAGACATGTTTGTTGGGGGGAATCAGATAGACACGGCATGGCTCCAGGTGCCGCGATCTGTTTGACTCCTTTCTGCGCAGAAATGTCCATTTTGTACTCAGCACTGTCTGTGAATAAAAACTGCACCAAAGACAAGTTTGTTTCCTCTCGGTTTCAACATTCATTTGAGGCCCAATAGAATTTCCATAACACACCCTATCCTGTTATTATAATTAGATCCATGTATAGAGCCAGTGTGTGAATGACAGATTTGAATATAGGAAAAAAATATCATAAAACATTGCGGTAGTGTTTCTTGTCAAGGCATAGGTTTTGGTTTGGCTTGCCGTAGGTAATAACCATCTACAACCGCACCAGCTGCTGGTTTACTGCTAAAAACCACATTACACCCCACAAATCTTTTTGACACACGCTTGGCGGAAGAAGTGTGTCAAAAAGAGATTTGGTGTAAAACAGACCTGTGCGTAGCTCTAGGCTTTTTCCGTTCTTCTCTCGACAAGGTAGGTTTATTTACACACAGATTGTTCTGTTAACAGATACAAAGGTCAAATTAACACACACACAAATCTGGGTTACAGACCACTACAGACCACGTTACACTTGCGAATCTGCGAAGGTCAGACTGCGTCAAACGATTGTGTGGTAAAAACATACTTTTTTTTTCTTTACACACACAAATCTGTCTACGCACACACCAATCTTGATACGTAATACCAAGACGTATATAAATTGGACAAGTCCCGCCTATCTCGCCCGTTCTTAACTTAATTGGCCAAAAAAGTGCTCTACTGGAGCTATCCCAAAATGGCCGCAAGTGGTCCCCACGACCACCCCACAAAAAATTGTGAAAAAACGCATCTGCGCATGCGTCAGCCGGCGAGAGCTCCATGTCATGTTGGAAACAAGAGACTTCAAAGAATGTCACAGGCGAGTAAACTAAGTGGACCAAAAAAATCCACCCCCCTCAGCATTGACAACACATGTGAACGGAGCTTTGGGCCAAGAGCCAACTTTTGGTCGCATCCTGTAAAGACGATTTTGTGAGAGGTCTGGCCAATGCTAAATGTTAGCATTGGCTAATCTACTTCTGGGTCCACCCCCATCGGCCCGGGGTGGTATTGCAGACATCGTCAGCGCCGTCAATCTTTGGCCACTTTTGGAGCTTGGACCACTCCCCCACTGGTATTTACCAATCTATTTACACACCGCACAAATATTTCTTTTACACAAACCAACAACCAAATCTGGTTTACGCAACGCACAAATATTTTAAGCGACACACAAACATCGGGTTGACGGCAGCACGCACAAATCTGTTTACAGCACAACACAAATCTGATTAACGCACACACAAATCAGTATACACACACACAAATATAAATGAAAACAATAATAGCAAGTGGTGGGACAGCTGTTTACCTGGCAGGATCCTTAGCCTCCCTCGCTCATGGTCCCCCGACACACAGCCTATTGTCCTGTGAACTATGGTTTGAGTTGTAGTTACAAAAGCACTGTCTGTTCCCGATGATGGGCACTTCCACCTCCATCGAGGTTCTGTGCGCGGCAGAGGAACTGTGAGCCAAACATCGAAGCCTCAGAAAAAATAAATCTATACAAATGACTAAAAGACAGAGAGCGGCTCGCCACCGCTCAGAAGGAGCTCAGTGAGGAACAGGGGACATGTGCCAAGGTTAGTTTGGGTTTGGTCAGGCCTTAAATCCAGTAGCTCTTAGCTAGATTTCCAAAGGCAACATCGAAATAGTAAACCCAATGGTTCAGAGACCATCTACAGACCACAAGAAAGCCCAAAATGGTGACTTGGTCGCTAGCCCTGCTCCACAGAGCGGTTAGCATTGTCCTTCTATGTATCTATGGTGTGTCTCTGGTAGAAACCCACCTGATGCTTCTGGTCGAGCTGCAAGATTCCATCAGCATCTCCAAGGCTTTGAAGCTCAACAGATTGTGGATAATATTTAATTTTCCACAAATAACCACGTCTCACCTCCAGAATTGATGTCCCCCCCCACCTGTGATCCAGGTCTGTGCCACGGTGGAGGGCACTGCCGGGAGTCCGCCCAGCACACAGGCTTTTATGTAGTCTGAGAAGGTGACGAGGAGGACAGCTTGAGCAGTGACATGTCGTTATCTGGGTGGCCTCGTTGTAGTCCTGTGGTTGATGAACTGAGTGATGGTGCGACTCACTTCGTTGGGGTGGGGGCCCTCTTGGCTTTGACGCCCGTTGAACACAGAGTATTTACTCGGCATCACCACTGGGCAGACAAGGAAACATAAAGGGGTGAGATTTAGGACCTGTAAAACAAATGCAGTGTTTAGGTGTCTGTGTTCAACAGGCTCCTCACCTCATGCAAGTGCGCCCGCTCTTAAGACACCCATCATGTTGTTGATGAGGGGAATCCTCCACAGGAGTGACCTCCTCCTCTGTGGATACTGACCTGCCAGGGCCAGGCTCCAACAGTGCAGCCTGGCCTCCGACAATCCGGCTGGTTATTTTGGTCCATCCCACACACTAAGGCACAAATCACACATAACATGACAGTTATATACATATTGGGATGGTCTCTACAGCACCACAAAGTTTTGAAATGACTCAAATAAGCTTGTGCGTGAACTCAGAGTTTCAGTTCCGGTGAGGATATTAAGATTTCAGTCAAGTGAATGCTGTAGGAATCTAACCAGTTTTTTTATCTTCACCGCGGCCACTTTGGTGAGTCCAAAAGTATAAGGAACAACTGGGCTGCTCAGCGGTACCTTTTGGCCAGTGTTTATTAGCATCTTTTCTATAGCGAAAGTGTGGGAGGTGAAAAACTGCTCTGTCGGCAGTTGGGCGGGACTTACCTGCAGCAATGTCCGATGGTGTTTGGGTGGTGTAGTATGGTGTTAGTTGATGGAAAGAAGGAAGGTGACCGCATTCTGATCGCTGTCGGTGCCAGAACGAAGGCGATGAAGCCCGGGCTGGTTGGCCTGTGATGTGATTGTTTATCCAGGCCTCATAGGCGACTCTCGGGGCATAGACCCCAAGTTAAAATCAGGGAGAGCGCAACCGATTCCGAAGCTCACCACTTCCACCACGCTGTATCCACTGCCATTTTGTTTTCGCACCAAGGACCCCCAGAATCCCCCTGCACACATAACCGGGTCACACTTCATCAAACAGGCAAGGTCTGTAACAAACACACGGAACTGTTAGCGTAGCAACACGCAACACTGTAAGAATCTAGGGGCCGTAATTGAGCGAAACTCTCCTTCAAGTCACAATATGAAACAACTAAAACCGCATGGTTACAACCTGCAGCAACATCCCTAAAATCAGGGAACATTCCTATAAGTGATGTATAAAAAAAACGAATCCACGCAGTGTCTCCAGAAGCCCATACAACTGTAGCGCCCTCTGCTGTATCATGACCTAAATCCTCCAAAAAAAGATTCCACTCATCCAAAATCCGTCTATTTAACACACAAAGCCATAAATGGCAATGACGCCTTCTTACCCTCCAAAGTTTTGGTGGCATAACAACCAAACCGGAGGTCTCTGCGCTTCACCAGAAGTCTGCCTGATCGCCTAAGGAGCGTTTATAACTCCAACCGCCTACACGGCGATTCAGTCCACAACAATCCCTCGTTCTACGCCGAGTCCTTGGATGGGCCTCTCAGAGGTTTCTTATCACTTTTCCTACTAGTTTTAATAGAGTTGTTCCTTCTCTGAGGCAGGAGTGTCTAAGACCGGGTGATGACCCAGGACAGTTATGGGACAGGTATGGGACACTTATGGGGACAGTTATGTGACAGTTAGGAGGTAGGTCGTCTGCCCTTTATGGACCATCGTAAGTGGTATAAAGTGTAAGCTTCATCTTTATTCATAGTACACATTTTTACAAGACCGAGATCACCCAAAGCGCTTTACAATGTTGCAGAAGTTTCAATATTGTTTCATTCTATTCTATCACAACGAATGAAGATGTAAACGAGGACGCCGAGCGCACTGGACCATCAATAGCCTACACCAACACCATCCGTTCAGAACCTAATTGTATGTTTCCGTGATAGGGCCGTAGGGGAAACAAAAGCAACCCGACACGGGGATAACATGCAAGCTCCAGGCCCTACTGTTTGGAACCCTGTTCAAGACCAGGAGTTGAACCCAGGACCTTCCGGCTGGAATGAGAGTGTTAACCAACACCCTTCTTTGCCACCCGTACCAACAAACATTCCCTGTGTTGAACTGTTTCTATTCTTTTCCCCTGATGTCGGTGTTAGGAATCAACACTTTGTAAAGTTCGTGTGAGATAACTAACTGTGTGGGATTTAGGGCGATACCCAATTAAATGGAATTGAATTGAGTCAGAGGTGCAGGATATGGAGCTATTCTTGTTTCAATAATAGTTGTGGTCGTAACCAGATTTGCATGTGTGGTAAATAGAAATATTTGTTGTGTGTGTAAATAGATTTTGGTATGTACTATCAAGATTTGGTGTGTGCGTAAAAAGATGTGTGTGTGCGTAGAAAGATTGTGATGGTGGAAAGAAAAAAAAATAAAATTTTTAACACACATATCTTTTGACACAGTCTGCCTTCGCAGATCGCAAGTTAGCTTGGACTGTGTTGCATCTGTACCCGAGATTTAGGTGTGTGGAATTACATTTATCACTGAACAGAACTATCTGTGTGTAAATAACCACCTTGTACGAAGAGAAAACCAAAAAAAGCGTAAGAGCTACGCACTGGCTCTCGTTTTTACACACAAATCTCTTTTTTGACACACTTCTACCGCGCCAAGCGTGTGTCAAAAAGATTCGGAGGTGTAATGTGTTGTGCCCAGCAGTACTACAAGCAATGTGCTGTTGTACTGGTTATACACGCAGCAAACCAGCAGAGTTTGTAACACTTTGTGTAGATAGAGAAAACCGGAGAAAAAAAAGAAGGATTTAAGAAGAAAAGTTCAGGATGACAAGGAAACACAAAACTTGCCCGGACAAAATGCCGCCCTTTAGAAAGCTGTAGGTTCTCTGTCAGCTCTGTTTTAGTTTACTTTGATTCTATGGGGAAAATGTCTGTGTAGGCCCACGTGAAGTTAGATCCTGCAGTACGCGATAAAAAGAATCCATCAGCTCCAACTAGTAACACCTGTCATGGCCAGATTCCCGGCACATGATATTCTAATCATTTAGGTCGAATACACTGCGTCTTCTTTTCCCAGCGTCTGAAACTGCTTCTCATCACTGTTTGGGGAAACATTAACACAAAGGCTGCTTTCCGCTGGTCCTCTTTCCCCATAACCGTCGCCACCACCTGCATTGGGCCTATCTCAAAATGTTCTTACAGCGTGTTCCTTGTAATCAAATCGAAAGTCCTTTTCTTCTGCCGCTTAATGTAATCTCTCCCCAAACTTTACCCGTCTGCATGCTGCGTATGACCATCTCTCTTGTGACGAATGTCCATTGTTCTGTGCTGACACAAACCACCTCCATAATAAACATAAGACATGTTTTGTTGGGGGGAACAGACGCACACGGCATGGCTCCAGGTGCCGCGTTCTGATTGACTCCTTTTCTGGCGGCCAGAAATGTCAATTTGTACTCAACACTTCTGTGAATAAAACTGCACCAAAGGACAATTTGTTTCCTCTCGGTTATTCATTCATTGTTGAGGCAAAAGAATTTCCCTATCAATTTTGTGTCAGAAGTGGCTCGAAGGCTTGACCGTTGAAACGCACGGGGTCCGATTTCGGGGGACTGTCGCCCGGGAATTCGCAAAACCAATCCTCGTTCGCTTTCCCATATCTCTGACCGGGCGACCTGACCGGACTGTGCTGCGTTTTCAACCGTCCGCCTCTAGTGATTTTCACCAGAAAACAAACGGTTACTTGTTTAATAATTGACTTTCTATGCTTCAGTGTGAATCCGAGAGGCACTTGTGGGTGCAGTGACATGTATTGGCTGCCAGCCTGGTGCCGGGGCTGCTCATTTCTAATCAGGCTGTTGGGAAGAAAATCTAAGTTTATTCTTAGCGGGAGTTAGAGTCCCTCCGTGGTGAAAACCAGGTTGGAGTCCTGTCAGAAAATCTAAGTTTAATTCATAGTCGGAGGTTGAGTCCCGTGTCGTTGTGAAGACGGTTTAGAGTCCGGTCCTAAATCTAAGTTTCCTCTTAGGTTCGGAGGTTAGAGTCCTTTCGTTGTGAAGACGGTTAGGAGTCCTGTCTAAAAAATCTACGTCTCAATTCTTAGTCAGGGGGGGGTTCCAGTTCCACTTGTTGTGAGCACGGTTAGAGGTCCTGTCTAAAAAATCTAAGTTTAGTCTTAGGCGGGGGGTTCGAGTCCTCTCGTTGTGGAAAACACAGTTTCGAGTCCAGTCAAAAAAATCTAAGTTTTAGTCTTAGTCTGGGGTTTCGAGTACCTCATTTTGAATACTAGAACTGCGGAGTTTGAAGTCTCAGAGTCCAGCTTGTGGCTTAGAAGAAAAGGCAAAGAGTCACCAAGGTTGGGACCCCCCAATGCAATGACTATATAATAGTAAGAAACATGGTGATGATTTTAGGGCATGCACTGAAATGAGGGTGGCTAAATAGGTTTTCCCCAAAATTGGCTCGTCAGCATGAACCAATATGAAAAGAATTAAATCGCAATTGGTGCTCGGAAACTGTGTTAAAAAAAGGCAGTGTCTGTACGTGTGAAAGATTTGAATGTCTGGATGAGAACAACGGTGCTGAATGCGTGGGATTGACTGAGGCAAAGCTTGGGAAAGACAGAAGAATGTATAGGATACTGCGACTGATACTTCGCCATTCCTGCTTTTTTTCGAGCATACCACCGAGATCCCAACGTCAATACGAGACCAGGTAGATGATTGGCACCCCGGCCTGTCTCCGCTCCTCCTCCACCCCCCCGTATCAAGCAGCAGCAGCGGCAACCTGCAGCACCAGCAACTGCAGCAAGCAGCAGCGTCACTGCCCTCCCTCCGCTGCTCCTTCTCCACCGCGCCAAGGCGTCTTGCAAAACAGAGCGCCTCGGTCCCCTGGCTTGCTTCGTCCCCGCAGTCAGGAGCCTCCGCATCTCCCCGCCCCGCCCCTCCTGGCTGGAGCAATCACAGGAGAGGCCGCAGCACCTGAACCAGGAGCGAAGCGGCTTCATCCACTCTGTCACGCATGATCTAAGTAAAGTTACACTGGACAATGAACAAAGGGCATGAACACAGATGATGGAAAGACCTTTACATCCTGGAAATCCTCAGACACGCAAAGCAATGCGGAAATAAAGAACACTGAGGAAACGCGGTACAAAACTGGCGCGCAGGAGACGGCACAAGCATCAGGCCAATCTCACATTGATCAAAATGACGGCAGACAATTCGCGTCGTGGATGTCGTGGAGGGCAGGAACGGAGAAGGATGGAATGGCAACGGAACATTGCGAGAACGATCGTGTCCATGACGACCAGGACAATTTTCAAACTGTTGGTGAAATTGGACATTGGAATCGTGATCTGTCCCCAGCCACGCCGAGATCGGGGGGGGGAGGGGGGGGGAGGGGGGGGAACGCAGGAGGACGTGACGGGGTGCGAGACCGGGGAGGACCAGCAGAGATATTTTCTTCAGATTGGAGGTCTGGTTGACGTGGGCTCTGAAATAAACACAGCACCTGTACAATGAGTACGCACACACTCTTACACACAACAACACTAACTGCTAACAGGCATGAAGACGCGCTTTGCCACGGTATTCTCTGCTTGGCTTAATGGCGGAATAGAATTAAGAGAGTTAGAGAGCGGTGACAGGCCCAACACAGGGACCGTACTTACTTATGAAAATGAAAGCTTACCAGAAAAATGCCAACTACTGGTTTTGTGAAATTTGAGGTGTAATCCGATCACTTTTTTAGTAGAGCTCTGGTGCAACCCACTGTCTGATCAGACAAAGGACTCTCAATCAAATAGTGGCAGAAGTGTTTTTTCCACAAGTGCAGTTGAACAAACGGTACCCGGAAATCTTTTTCTGTTCCGATCAAATGCACTTGGGCACACGAGCGTCAACCCAGCAACCAGCAAAACAGTCATTTTTGATGTCTGAGCCTTGTGTCCGTGTAAACTTTGTTTATGGCCGTGATTTAAATGATAAAATGGGAAAGTTGGTGATCACATCGACACAGACAGGCCTAAAATAGTACAGAGGGCGTGCGCACTATGTTGTCAAAAGTAAACAACTAATTGTCCTATGTCTGTATATCAGTGGTGGTAGTCATACTGCCCAGCGTCGATCATTTAATGGGGGTGTTTTCTCCATTTTCTTAAGCCAAAATCTGATCATATTGATGTAAGCTGAGGACTTGCATTGTGTGTGGGGGTGGTCACTGTTATCACATGGCCCCTGATTGTGAATTTGAAAGAAACCGTTTAAACTGGTCTCAACTGACTGCTTAAGTCTGCTTGACGAGTTGTACTTTGATGTGTCCAAGGGGTCCTGTTTTCAGTAGAGTTTAATGCCAGTCACAAAAACAACTATCGTCTTGAAAATTCAAGTCCTCAATTTTCAATAGCAAAAAGCAAAGACTTGACACATGGCAAACCTTAGGCCTTTTGTAACTGCAGATGTAACTTTGCAGAGACTGGAGGCGTGGTGACGTGGAGAAATGTGTTTTATTCACAATCCTTGGCGGCGTATAAAATGTCTCATGACGAAGACATTGATGGGCTAAAATTCTAGTGCTTTTAGCGTCTTCATATGATAACAAATGACGGACCTAATTTGTCTCTGACGTTTCTTTGACTTCTCCGCTTGAGATTTCATCTTGTTTATCGCAAGTACCAGGACAGTCTGGTGGGCAAAAAGTAAACATGATGTTGTTGATCAAAAACTGTCCACAGGCTGTTCGTATTGCAGCTAACTCTGATATAGACCGAGCACGGCCGTATCCTTTGAGACAGGAAGGGGGCCCCCCATAGAAGGACTTACACCTGTTTTTGAATCATATCTTGAGGCTGGCATTATTGTCCCAGGTGAGGACTCACCAGTGACGGACACATTTTTCCTTAAAGAAAATTAGACCAAGCATATAAACCTACAGAGTGGCGTTTTGTGCAAGACTTAAAGTGCTGTGAACGCATGCGATCATCTCTCCTAGTTCCCCAATGTTTGCCTAACCACGACACGCTTTTGAAGTCAGATTTCCAGCATAGCAGAGTGGTTTGCTGGAGTGGACTTAATCAAAATGCTTTCTTTTCTGTACCTGTGGACAGGGTTTCACAGTATTTTGTTTGCCTTCTGTTTTAATGGAAAAAGAGTATACTGTTACCAGACTTTGGTCAGGAGCCTAAACCAAGCGCCCTCGTTGTTTTTGTGAGGCCTGAACCACATCTAGCGTCTCTGTGTTGGGACGCCGGACGGTTTTGTGATTAATTATGTGGGATGATGTTTGATGATTGCGACCCCACAAAAGAACAATGGTGAAAAGGAGGACACACTTAAGCTTCTCCAACATTTGGCTAGGAGGGCCACAAAGCTTCTGTTTTCAAATTGCATTTGTCCAAAACAAAATGTTGTGATTTTTGGGTCCCATTATAACCCCTGAAGGTAAAACCTTGTCAACAAAGCGTGACGGCAATAGTTGATCTCCGAAGCCCTCAACAAAAAGGAACTTCTTTCATTTTGGATGGTGCTCATATTGCAAGGCATTTTATCAGCCAATTCTCTGAGAAAGACAAGCCGTTAACGTGTGTATGTCTGTGGGAGGAACATGTGTCGTCCTCTCGCCCTCGTGTGGTCGTCCAGAGGCAGACGCAGTCTTGGACAGACTTACAAATTGCTGTTGCAATCGGCTCCATCTCTGGGGAATTCCCCAGACCCAAATATCCTTTTATGTTCGGTTTGGTGACGAGAGATTGGGATGCATGACATCAGTACTTTTTGCAAAAACATGAGATCTACTGCAAACGCGTTTGGTTATTTTTCAAAACTTCTTGATCTGTGGCGAGAGGTCTCCCTGCTTGTTAAAGAAGCCATAGCCTGCGTGTGAACAGCAGTATTGGCATCACTAACTTTGTTGGATTCTGCCAGCTTGTTGTTGTTTGTTCCACATTCTGTTGCTTGATACTACAGGAGGCAAATCTTCACAATCTTTCTGCACTCTCGATGGCTTCCGATATCACACAACACTCTTGGGATTGCCACATGTGATGTCCATAAATGTTCTACACTTTCTCCTGCCCATTGTGTACCCCTCCCAGAGAGGGCACAAAGGACCGCACTCATGCATGCAGAGCTGAATCAGATCCTGTACTCCAAGACCAGATCATTCTGATACACCCCTTTGACTAACCCTGATTTATCTGCTCGTATGTAGATTAGGAGTCAGCATATCGAAGACCCGGACACCCAGGAAGGTCCGCATGCTTGATCCGCTGTGGTGGACGTCCATCAGTCGTTCTTTCTTTCCTCTTCAACCATCGATGTACTCGGGCAACAATTGCAGAGCTGGGGGCGTGACAGAGGCGTGTGCAACGCAAAGGGACGTCGTTACAATATTCACTGACTCCCGCTATGCATCTTGGGGTGACGCATGATTTTGTGTGCACTGTGGAAACATAAAACTTTCTAAAATCTGAAACTAGGAAAACCAATTTTACACCACACACATGTTGCAAGCCTGTGAGAAGGCAATCGTTTGCCCCATCTCAGATTGCTGTGTGTATTATGTTCTTCCCACACAGGTGCAACGACTCTGTTTCATGGGGGGTAACGCTAGGGCGGAGAACAGAGCTGAGCTGCGAGAGCTGCTGCTAAACAGCTCCTCCCCCATCAGGCTTCCTCTCTCCCTGCCCCATGCTGTCCCCCCATAGACCCCTCCATCTTTCCCCTCACCCGCCTCTCTGAAGGACCTCTGCTCACAATCTCTTCCCCTAAGACCGGCCGCACGTGGGCGGAGTCTGGTGCGGTTTTTCCAAAATGGCGTCTGTTAGGAGCCCAATTTTGAAGCCATCGCCTTCCCAAAAGATGTATTTAATTGCTATGCTAAGTTAACACATGGGTTGGAACCATGTGGTCAAAGGGGAATAATGTTTCAAGCTGTCCAACAATATTGGGTTTACAAAAGGGGTTTTCTACATTTGCTGCAGAGTTTGTAGAAGCTGTCGATCTGTGCAACGAATAACCCGGTAGCCGTGGTCTCTGGTCACAAGCAGAAGCTCACCCAGCTCCTACAAGACCGTCTGAACATGTCATGATGGACTTCTTGATTAACACCCATGTGACGGGAAAAAAATGTTGTCTTTGGTTAATGGTGGGATATGTTTTCACAGGGTTGAAGCTTTTCCCTGCAAAAACATGCGTCCTCCGCTACAGTAGCAAAAAGGCCATTTTGACGTGAAATTCTTGTAAAATTGGGAATATCCCGTCAGAAGTTGGTCCAGCATAATGGGTCGCATTTTGTTTAATGAAGTGAGAAAACAACTGCTGATTATTGAAATTTTATTTGAAACTCACTAAGCTATCACCTCACATCCGGTGGAGCATGTTGAGAAGACAATATCACAATAAAATCAAAACTGGCCAAATTGCTGTCAGAAAACAAACCTTAAGCTGGCAATAGAAGCTTGCCAATGTCCTGATTTACATGCGATTGAGAGAGGCGCACTGCTAACAACCTGTCCCCATTTGAGATTTTGTTTGCAGCTCCCCCCAACGTAGGAATTACCCTGCGGGACATCAACTGCAGATGCCATCCTTTGCGAGGATGGCAATGCATAAGGTATTGTTAACCCTAGACAAAGTCTCTTTGCGTTATATCCAGAAGACCAGTGTCATCGGCCCTCCCCAATCGGGCGGACCATCCACTTCAGCACATCCAACCCGGCGACTTCGTGCAGATAAGAACTTCAAGCCAAAGAGCAGAATCACCATCGCTGGCTTGGCCCATTCCAAGTTCACCTCGTCACAACACACCGCTTGGAAAGTCCGGAGAGGCAACCTGGGGATCCTACGCATTCGCAACGCAAACAAGTTCCCCTCTTCTTGCGGAGCGTACAACGTAAGCATAAGGGAGATCTACCCCCTCCCAACGCGAAAGGAAGGTCACACACACACTACCCCCCACACCAACGTAAAACTGTTAGAAATACATTGGTTAACTGCATCAGGGAAAAAGTGCTGGTACCTAACACTCCCTAGGTCATAAGAGGAGCAGAAGATAGGTAACACAAGGAGACAACAAGTGACAATACCAAGTCCAGATGGCACAAACGCCAGGGAGGCACGTCCCTGGCATCCATTCAGGCAGCAGGGCTTTGCGGGATGAGAAAGACTTTGTGTGTGCTCATGTTCCATTCGCTTCCTCATTGTGTTTCCACTGTTATGGGTTTGAAGGGCGGGAAATAAAAAGAACAATCAAACACAGGTCGTTGACAATTACACTTCTAACACCGGCTTTCAATTCATCAAAACGTGTGAAAGGAAGATAGTGGCCAAAATGGAATATTGCGGGGGTCACGTGTTTTGGCTCAGATCAATGAATCACACCAGCGTGTTACCACTTGAATATGTGGTATCAAATAATGCAAAAGTTCTTAGCATAGTCACAAAATCGCTCAAATTGTTACATTTGTACTCATATGCCTATGCTTCATCAATCCCACACATCACAACCTCTACACGAATGGTCCGATGCATTTACACATTGTTCCAAAGATCTCTTGTATTCATCTGTCTCTGTTGTTTATTTCAAATGAGGACCGTCACAAAGGCGTGACAGGTAAATGTCTACCCCCGACTCAAACCGGCCTGTAGTTCGGTTTCTTCAATTATTGGTTTAAAATGATGAATTAGATCCAATTTTTGGCCCGGTACATCAAGACCTGGTACTAAGTTGTAATGTTACACTCTATCCATGCCATTACTGATTCTCCTATACAGATGGGGACGGATCCACTATGTCATTATTTGTTTAAATGTTCTAAACCCGTGTACTTCTTTTCATGGGTAATCAATTTAAACACTTCTCAGGGGCCGCTCCGGGTAGTCATGTGCTCCATACTTCACGGTTCCAGACTCAAATGAACTTATCACCTGAAGGGGTATTGTGGCTGTGTGGCTTCAATGGTCTATGTGAAGCTACCAATTAATTGGATAGGTCGTTGTGCTCTGATGATAGCTTCAGATCACTCTTACATCATCTCTACCATCTCACTAGAATCGCAGGTAAGCGCGAATTTTGGCTGCTCATAGAAGCAGTTTGGGGGGACGGACGTTGCCAGATGATCACAAACTGTGGACCAAGCCAAACAAAAGTAACTTCTCTCCTTGTTCCCCAGTTCGGAATATCGGGAAAGTTATGCGTAGTATGGAACCTTGATTTATCGGTTTTTCAATTGTGAATTCACCTGTAACTATAAACTGAGGCCAACAGAGAGAAGTAAATGCGTTGCGTTGCCGTTGCTTTATACAAACAGGATTGTTTTGGATCAGTGGTTGCCTCAAGTGGAGGGGTTTGTGTTTTACCTTAATCAGAACCGCTTGTTGTACTATATTCCTGATAACAGTGCCGATGATGGGGATCATTGCACAGGGTATCGAAATCTAAACCACCTTGCACGATGCGTTAACCGTGATTTGGTTCTAGATGCAACATGGTTGTCAGACTGGCGTGCGGGGTTGTTCAAATAGGTACTAGGAACTTGGAGTATGATTTGTACTCTAATAGTGCTGTCATGTTGTGACATTCTATGATCCGTTCATTGATCCGACGTATGATCTCGTCGACACTCGTTCAACACACTTCTCTAAACCTGCATGTTGACTGTCTTGATGAGGACAGTGATTCCATTAAGTGGATGGTACTTGAATGAATTTGAGTAAATTGGGTTTGGGTATTCTAACCCATTTTTATGACTAAGATGTTGCTTAAACCTACTAGGAGAGAAAGTTTTTTGATTTCCGGGGTTTCTTATATTTTACTTATATTTTTACGTTGATATATTTTATTACTTATATTTTTACTTATATTTTACTTATATTTTTAGTACTTGATATATTTTTAGTACGTAAATAGTATTGTGTGTGATTGAATTTAAGATAATCAAAAGGGTGGATTGTCATGGCCAGATTCCCGGCACAAGATATTCTAATCATTTAGCTCGAGACAGGCGTCTTCTCTCCCAGCGTCGGAAAACTCTTCTCTTCAATGTTTGGAAACTTTACACAAAGGCTGCTTTGTCCACGGTCCTCTTTCCCTAACCTTCCCACCACCAGCATGGGCCTAATCGCAAATGTCTCTTACGAGCTTTCCTGTTATCAAATTCGCGAAGGTCCTTGTTCGCGCTTAATGTATCCATCTCCAAACTTTCGCCGATGCACTGCCGTATTACTCATCTCTCTTGTGACCGAATGTCCATTGTTCTGTCTGACACACCTCCAGATAGAGGATCAATAAGACATGTTTGTTGGGGGGGAACAGACAGACACGGCATGGCACCAGGTGCCCGGCTTCCTGTTTGAGCTCCTTGTTCTGCGAAGAAATGTCATTTTTGTACTCATCACTTCTGTGAAATAAAACTGCACCAAAGACAATTTGTTTTTCCCTCTCGGTTTTCATTCATTATGAGGCAATAGAATTTCCATAACACACCCATCCATTAATTATAATAATCCATGTTTAATACAGTGTGGGAATGACACGGATTTTGGAATATAGGAAAAAAAATATCATAAACAGTTGCGGTAGTGTGTCCTTGTCAAGCAGTAGGTTTGGGGTTTGCTTGCTGTAGGTATAACCGCTAAAACACACCCATCTGCTGGTGGTACTGCTGAACAACCTCATAACACCCACAGAATCTTTTTGACACACGCTTGCTGCAGAAAGGTGTGTCAAAAAGAGATTGTGTGTAAAAACAGAGCCTGTGCTTCTCTAGGCTTTTTTCCGTTCTTCTCTATCTACAAGGTGGGTTATTTACACACAATTGTTCTGTTACAGATACAGAATGTCAAATTACAACACAACCCCACAATCTGGGTACAACGCACGACAGTGCACGTTACCTTGCGAATCTGCGAAGGCAGGACCGCGTCACAATGATTTGTGTGTTAAAACATCCTTGTTTTTTTCTTTAACACACAAATCTTTCGACGCACACACAAATCTTGAGAACGTAATATACCAATAGACCTGTATAATATTTAATGACAGAGGTCCCCGCCTATCTCCCATTCCGCCGTTCTACAACAAATGGGGCCAAAAAATGTGGCTCTACGTGGAGCTATCCAAAATGGGCCGCAAAGTGGTCCCGTCACCCCCCACATAAAAAATTGTGAAAAAACAGCATCTACCATGCTCAGCGCCGGCGAGAGCTCCATTCATTTGAACAAGATACTCAACAATTCACAGCGAGTAAACGAGAGTGGACGCACAAAAATCCACCCCCCTCAGCATTGACACACATGTGGAACGAGCTTTGGGCCAAGAGCCAACTTTTGGTCCAATCCTGTAAAGAACTTTTTGGGGAGAGGATCTGCAAATGCTATATGGTAGCATTGGGCTAATTCTACTTCTGAGGATCCACCCCCATCGCCCGGGTGGTATTGCAAGCTTGTCACGCACGTCATTTTGGCCCACTTTTGAGCTGGGACCGCTCCCCCCCTGGGTGAGTAACAAATCTATTTACACACGCACAAATATTGACTTTTACACAACACAACAAATCCTGGTTACGCACAGGCACAATATTTTAACGTACACACAATCTGTTACCGACGCACAACTGTTTACGCACACACAAAACCTGTTTACGCACACACAAATCGTTTTACACACCACACAAAGTATTATTGAAACAATAATAGCCAGTGGTGGGACAGGTCTGTTACCTGGCAGAGTCCTTGCCTCCCTCCCTCGCTCAGTCCCCTCACAGCAGCATATTGGTCTGTGATACGGATGGTTTGAGTTAAAGTTACAAAAGCACGTCTGTTCCCTGATGATGGGACTTCCACCTCCATCAGGTTCTGTGGCTGCGGCAGAGGAACTGTGGGAGGCCATACATCCAAGCATCAAATATAATAAATCTATACAAATGACTAAAAGACAGAGAAGCTGCTGCCGCACGCTCAGAAGGAGCACAGTGAGAACAGGGACATGGTTGCCAAGGTAAGTTGGAGTTTGGTCGTCCTGATATCACAGTAGCTCTTATCTGATTTACAAAAGGCAACATCATAATGTAAAACCATGGTTACAGAGCCTACGAAACCACAGATAGCCCAAAATGGTGACTTGGTCGCTAGCTCCCACAGAGCGGGTTAGGCATTGTCCTTCGATGTATCTAGGGTGTTGTCAACTGGGAGAAACCCACGCTGTTGCTTTCTGGTCGAGCTGTAGATGCAGATCAGCATCTCACAAGGCTATGGAATCGCAGACAAGTTGGATAATATTTACTTTTCACAAATTATCCACGTCTCCCCTCCAGAATTGATGTCCCCCCAGCCTGTGGATCCCGGTGTCCTGTGCCACTGTGAGGGCACTGCCGGAGGCCGCCAGGCACACGAGGCATTATGTAAGATAGTGTGACGGAGACGTCGGATAGACAGGCTTGGACAAGGGACATGTCGTTTATCCTTGGTGGCCGTCGTTGTAGTCCGGGGTGGTTGATGACCTGAGTGAGATGAGCGACTCACTCGTTGGGGGTTGGGGCCCTCTTCGGCTTTTGACCCCGAATGAACAACAGAGTATTTTACGGGCATCACATGCCGACAGGAAAGCAGTAAGGGGTGAGATTTAGGAGCCTGTACTAGGCAGTTTTAGTGTCTGTGTTCTAAGGCTACCATCACCTCAATGCCTGCCCCGCGCTCTAAGGCACCCACATGTTGTTGTGAGTGAAGGGAAGCCTCCACAGGTGAAGTGACCTCCTCCTCTGGTGGATACGACCCTGCCAGGCCAGGGCTCCTCAGGTGCAAGCTGGCCTCCGACAATCCCGCGGTGTTGGTGGATGCCACCCACACACATAAGGGCACAAAGCACACATACGACAAGGTATATAACATATTTGGGATGGCGTCATACTGCCCACAAGAGATTTGGAAATGACACAAATAAGCTGTGCTTGAACTTGCAGATGTTCAGGTATCAGGTGGAGGATATTTAGATTTCAGTCAAGTGAATGCTGTAGGAATCTAACCAGTTTTATCTTCACCCGCCCTCTTTTGGTGAGTCAAAAGTATAGAACATCTGGCTGCTCAGAGTACCTTTTTTGCCAGTGTTTAGTAGCAAATCTTTTCTATAGCGAAAGTGTGTGAGGTGAAAACTGCACTGTCGGCAGTGGGGCCGGGACTTACCTGCAGCAATTCCGATGTGTTGGGTGGTGTAGTAGTGGTGTTAGATTGATGGTAAGAAGGGGCAGGTGACCTCCTGATCGCTGTCTTGGTGCCAGAGGAGCGAAGGCGATGAAGCCGGGGCTGGTTGCTGTGATGGAGTGTTTATCCAGGCCTCATAGGCGGAACACTCCGGGCCAATAGACCCCCAGTAAATCAGGCAGAGCGCAACCGATTCCGAAGCTCACCACTCCAGCCTGGAGCCATCGGCCATTTTGTGTTCTCCACCAAGGACCCCCAGAATCCCCTGCACACATAAGCCGTGTCACCAATTCTCAAACAGCAGTCGGTACCAGAACACAGCGGGAACTGTTTAGCGTACAACTCGCAACACTGTTAAGAATTCTTGGGGCCTAATTGATCGGAGGAAACTCTCCCTTCAAGGCACATATGAAATCCAACTAAACCGCCATGTTTCACCTGCGCAACACCCTAAAATCAGGAACATCTATAAGTGATGGAAAAAAAAAAAGAATCCCACTGCAGTTGTAACCTGAAGCCCAGACTACTGGGTAGAAGCGCCCTCTGCTGGTATCAATGACCTAAAGCCTCAATAAAAAGATTCCAGCTCACCAAAATCCCGTCTATTAACACACAAAGCCAATAAATGGCATGAACTCTCTTCTTACTCCAAGTTTTGGTGACATAAACTAACCAAACCGAGCTCTGCGCTTTCACCAGAAGTCTGCTGTTCCTAAGGAGCGGTTACTCCTAGCGCCTACACTGCGGAATCAGCCGCAACAATCCTCTATTAGGCAGCCTGAGTCCTGGATGGCCCTCAGCAGTTTCTTCACTTTTTTCCTACTAGTTTTAAGAGTTGTTTCCTCTCTGATGCAGGAGTGTCCTAAGGACCGGGGTGATGACCAGGACAGTTATAGCAAGTTATGTGGACAGTTATGGGACAGTTATGGTCAGTTTATGGATGTAGGTCCGGCTGCCCTATATGGACCCATTCGTAAGTGATAAGTAGTAAGCATCATCTTTATTCATATAGTCACATTTTTACAGAACCGAGATCACCCAAAGCGGCTTTACAATGTTTCAGGAGTTCAGATATTGTTTCATTCTAGTCCACACAATGATGATGTAAAACCGAGACGCCGAGCGGCACCCTGGGACCATCAAAGCCTACTAACCAACACCATCCGTTCAGACCTAATGTGTATGGTTCAGTGATAGGGCCGGAGGGGAAACCAGAGCACCCGGACACGGGGGAAAAACATGCAAGCTCCAGTCCTGTTTGGACCCTGTTCAGACCAGGATTTTGAACCCAGGACATTCCTGCGAGAATAGAGAGTGTTAACCACTCTGCCACCGTACCTGTCTAACATCCCTGTGTTTGAACTGTTTTTCTATTCTCTGATCTTGTGAGTGAATCAAACAGCTTTGTTAAAGTTCTTGAGATAAATACTGTTTGTGTTTTAGGCGATATCACCAAATAAATGAATTGAAGTGAGTCAGAAGGTCAGGATATGGAGCTATTATTGTTTCAATACATAGTTTGTGTGCGTATCCAGATTTTGCATGTGTGTAAAAGAAATATTTTGGGTGAGTGTGTAAATTAGATTTGGGTATGTACGTAGTCAAGATTTTGTGTGCGTAAAAAGATTTGTGGTGTGCGTAGAAAGATTGTGTGTGTGTAAAGACAAAAAAAGGTAAGTTTTTTTCATACAATATGCTTGTTGACACAGTCCGCTTCGCTGATTCGCACGTGTAGCTTGGACAGTGTTCATCTGGACCCAGATTATGTTGTGTGTAATTTGACATTTATATCTGTAACAGAACATTCTGTGTGTAAATAAACCACCTTGTACGAAGAGAAGAACAAAAAAAAAAAAGCGTAAGACTACGCACAGGCACTCGTTTAACACACAAATACTGCGTTTTTGACACATTCTACCTGCCAAGCGTGGCAAAAAAGATTCGTAGTGTAATTGGTTGTTTCCAGCCTTAAACCCCAGCAGATGGGCTGTTAAGCTGGTTATACACCAGCAAACCAGCAGAGTTTGTAACACTATAGTGTAATAGAAGAAAACCGAAGGATTTAAGAAGAAAAGTTCAGGATGCCAAAAGGAACACGAAAATTCCCAACTAAATCCGACCTTTATGAAAGCTGTAGTTCACTGCAGCTGTGTTTAGGTTACTTTGAGTTCTATGGGGAAAAATGTCTGTGTAGCCCACTGAATTTAAGTCTGCAGTACGCGAGAATCCTTCAGCTTCCAAGCTAGTAACACCTGTCATGGCCAAGTCCCGGCACAAGATATTCTAATCATTTAAGGTCGATACAGGCGTCTACTTTCACCAAGAGTCCTGAAACTCTTCTCATCGACTGGTTTGAAACATTAACACAAAGGCTGCTTGTCCGCGGTCCTCTTTCCCATTACCTTCGTCCACCACCTGCATGGGCCTATCTCCAAATTTTCTTTAACCAGCGTGTTCCTTGTATCAGAATTCGAAGGTCCCTTTTTTCCTCGCTTAATGTACTCTCCCAAACTTTTCCCCCGTCTGCAGCTGCTATGACTCATCGCTCTTGGACGAATGTCCATTGTTCTGTCTGACACACCTTCAGTATATGATCATAAGACATGTTTGTTGGGGGAACAACAGACACGCATGCTCCCAGGTGCCGATTCTGTTTTGACTCCTTTCTGCGCAGAAATGTCATTTGTACTCCAACACTTCTGTGAATAAAACTGCAACCAAAGGACAAGTTTGTTTCCTCTCGGTTTCATTCATTTGAGGCATAGAAGTTTCAATAACAATTTTGGTGTCAAGTGGTCCTCGAAGGCTTGACCGTTGAAACGCAGGGGTCCGGATTTCGGGGGGACTGATCGCGCCGTTCAAAACCAATCTCGTCGCTTTCCCCAATCTCTGGACGGGCGGACTGACCGGGACGTGCCTGAGTTTCGACCGACGCCTCTAGGTATGTCACGACGAAAACAAACGGTAACCATGTTTTAATATTTGACTTTCCTATGCTTCAGTGTGGGTGGAATCCGAGCAGGCACTGTGGTGCAGTGCATGTTGGGCTGCCAGCATGGGTGACGGTGCGTGCTCATTCTAATCCAGGCTGTTGGGGAGAATATCTAATGTATATCTTAGTCGGCGAAAGGTTAGAGGGGTCCTCCGTTGTGAAAACAGGTTGGAGTCACTGTCATAAAATCTAAGTCTTATTCTTAGTCGGGAACAAGGTTAGAGTCCTTCGTTATGTGAAGACGGTTTAAAGTCCGGGCTCTAAATCTAAGTTAACTCTAGTACGGGCAGGTTAGAGTCCTTCGTTGTGTAAGACGTTAGGAGTCCCTGGTCTAAAAAATCTAAGTTCAAGTCTTAGGGTCGGGGTTCAGTCCCTTTTGTGACATCGTTAGAGGTCCTGTCTAAAAATCTAAGTTTAGTCTTATCGGGGGGTGTTCGAGGTCCTCTCGGTGTGAAAACAGTCTTCGAGTCCTGTTCAAAAAATCGAAGTTTAGTCTTAGTCGGGGTTCAGTCAGCAGATGATACAAAGATCTGAGTTTGAAGTCTCAGATTCCAGCCATGTGGCTTAGAAGAAAAGGCACAGATCACCATTTGGGACGACCCCATGCATGACTTTTAGAGGAAGAACCAGGGTGATGATTTAGGGCAAGCAACTGAAATGTGGTGGCTGAATTAGGTTTTCCCCAAAAATGGCTCCTTCATCTTGAACCAATTGGAAAAGATTAAATCGCAATTGGATGCTCGAAAAACGTGTTAAAAAAAGGCAGGTCTGTATCGTGTGAAAGAATTGAATTGTCTGGATGAGAAACAGACGGTGGCTGCATGCGTGGTTCGCGACTGAGGGCAAAAGCTTAGGGACAGACTGAAGAATGTATAGGATCTTCGACGAGACTTCTCCATCTGCCTTTTATTTTTTTCGAGCATTACCAGCCGTCCCATACTCAATACACCGGGTAGATGACTTGGTCCCCCGCTGTACTCCCGCTCATCTCAACCCCCCCCGGTATCAGCAGCAGCCAGCGGCACCTGCTGCACCTGCAACAGCAGCAGCATCAGCGCCTTCTGCCCTCCCCTCACGGCTGCCTCCCTCTCAAACCGCTCCATAGGCGTCTGCATCAGCCCCTCCCCTGGCTGCTTCTTCCCCCGCAGCAGGAGCCTCCGGCATCTGCCCCCGCACCCTCCCCTCCTGGCTGGGAGCACAAGTCCACAAGGAGCCGCACTACCAGGAGCGCTAGCGGCTTCATCCACTCTGCACGCATGATCTAAGTTAAAGTTACACTGGACAATGACAATGGCATGACACCAGAGATTGGAAAGATTTACAATCCAAGAAATCCTCAGACACCAAAGCATCTGAAATAAAGAACACTGAGGAGACCGCGTAAAAACTGGCCGCGAGGAGACGGCACGCATCAGGACCAATCTCACATTGGATCAAAATGGGACGGCAGACAATTCCCGTCGTGGGCTCTGGGAGGTAGAGGACGGAGAAGAGGTGGCAACGGACATTTCGAGAACGTCGAAGTCCATTGACGACCAGGACAAATGGTTCAACTGTGGTGAAATTGGACATTGGAATCGTGACTGTCCCCAGCCACGCTCGAGATGCGGGACGTCTGGAGTGGACGTGGACGGGGTGCGAGACCGGAGGACCAGCAGAGATTTCTTCAGATTGATGTCAGGTTGACGATGGGATCTGACACAAGCTAAAGCACCTGTACAATGAGTAAAGCACACACTCTTACACACATAACACAAACTGCTAACGTGCAAATGAAGACCGGCGCTTGCCAACTGATCTCACGCTTGGCTTAATGAGATAGAAGTAGAGAGTTGAGGAGCCGTGACAGGCCCAACACAGGACCTACTTAGGCGTATGAAAATGAAAGCCATATACATGAAAAAAGTTCCAACTACTGTTTTGTGAAGATTGAGGGAAACCGATCATATTTTTGAGTAGACTCTGGTGCAAGCCCACCAGTGGGTGAATCATACAAAGGAGCTCTCAATCAAATTAAGTGGCCAGAAGTGTTTTTTCCACAAGTGCGAGTGGACAAACGGTACCGGAATCTTTTCTGTTCCCGATCAAATGCACTTGGCAAACGAGCGTAAACCCAGCAACAGCAAAAGCATTCATTTTTGGGATGCT